ACTAGACCCTAGAGCAGTTCTGTGGATTGACAAATTAAACTTCTACATCTCAAAATCTGATTGACAAGTCTGAGTTTGGCATTTGCCAGAAGAACAGTATTTGTATGACTGTATTGTACCAAGTGTAAAGTTCAGTAGAGGGGGTATTATGAAGTGGGGTTGTTTTTCAGGATCTGGGCTTTGCCCCTTAGTTCCAGTGAAAGGAACACTTAATGCTTCATTGCAGACAATCTCCTGCACCCAACTTTGCGGGAACAGTTTTTTGCTGGCCTTTGTTCACCAATGCACATAGCAAGGACCATAAACACATGGATGGCAGAGTCTGGTGTAGATTAACTTGATTGCCCTGCACAGAGTCCTTACCTCACCCCTTTGGGGTGAATTAGAGCAGAGTCTGAGAGCCAGGCCTTCTGATCCAACATCAGTGTGTGACCTCACAAATGTACTTCTGGAAGAATGGCCAAAAACCCATAAACACACTCCTACACCTGTGGACAGTGTCCCAGAAGAGTTGAATCTGTTTTAGCTGCAAAGGGTATAGCAACATCATACTGAACCACTGTGGATTAGGAATGGGATCTTACTTCAGTTCATATGTGAGTCAATGCAGATGATTAAACCTTTGGGGGAATATAATTTCACAAAGTCCAGTGTTAGAAAGTCCAAAGAATATTTCTGCTGTCTTTTCCACACTGGTGAAATTTCGAACTACTATTTGGTCATAGAGTTTATATTGCTTTAATTTTGCATGTGTTTCTTTTCATATATTTTCTAAATCTCTTTAAGGTTTTAAAACTTTAATTGTTGAAGATCCCAAAGAAATACGTATTTCTTCTGATTTATGCTTCTAAATTAACAACTGCCAGTAAATTAACCTGTTTTGACTTGTAATTGTGTTGTAGGCAAATAATGCTAAGAGATTTTGATATTTTAAGGGAATCAGTTTCAGTAAAGATCAAGAAAGGTTCAATATACACAATGATTTATTTGTTTTATACCATTGGCTGTCTTGTGGTGTATTGAACTGAAATATTTCAAAACTAGCAACAGTGACTACAGCTAAATTAATATAGTCAAATTTTCTAAGACTGTTATTGATCGAAATGTAGAAATTCATAAAGCTTTGAAATAAGTGGTCCTTATGCAATATACTGTATCATTGTTTGTGTATTAAATAAATGAATCTTAATGATGTTTCTTATTCAATTAATTTGTATGTGTTTTCTTAAAAGAGTAATGTAAAAACAGATTAATGTATAGATAGTCCTACAAGGCTAGAAATGAAAGTAGGTGACTCTGGTGCTGGTTGGATAACCATAGATGATCCTACATAAGAAAAACATTAAGAGTGGCAGCACCAAGGCTTTTATCTGTACTAACTATAGTTTTTTTCAAGTGCTGGAGTCATTACAGAGACATGTTAGATAACGCATGCTTAAAAAGATATAAAGAAAAGATGGCTGTTATTAATATAGATCTGTGTGAAGTGGATGCATGTAAAATGTAGGGTAAGTGAACAAGATTGTTTTTCTCTGAGATTAAGTGTTATGTGCTTACATTAGTCTATATGTGTATATGGTCTTTATTTGTTGTCTTCGATCAAAAAGATCAAACCAAATATATTCTGCATCAGATGGCTTGACTCTGCATATTAAGCAGGATCACTCATTAATGCAAGATTTTTGGTTGCAAAGTTGTAACGTTTGCTTATATTTACCTCTTCTATTCTCAGTATGTAATGGAAACTTCTCTTCACTGCTCAATCAGCTCAGTTTGTGAACCTTGGAATATAACAGTAGCCTACACAACTATGGTCATGGTTCTTTTACATGGAACGGAGAGCGACTGGGCTCTCTATACTACCACAATGGTGCCGTTGTGCTGTAGTCCACAAGAGGTGAGTTCATGTGGAAACTATATATCCAAATGACTTTTTTTTTTCTTTTTTTAAATAAGACATCTATCTAGATCTACTTTAGGAAAAATTAAAGGGTCTTTTTTTTAAAGTTAGCTTTCCAATGCTACTTCTCCTCAACTCAAAGTTCAAGCTGCCAAGAGGGAATATCAGACTGAAACTGAACCTTGGAATCCATCAATAAATAGTCTATCGCTTTAGAACCAATTGTATTAAGTGTTTTTGTTTAGATAATAAGCACTGTGACATTTGTTTATTTGTGTGTAAATGTCCTCCAAAGTTTTGTTTGCCTCCACTCCCAGGTCACATTCTTAAAGTCACCCATATTCATGCAGATATACTGTAGGGTTCAGATGGAACTTTTTTTAGGCCCTTTGTGATTTTTTTTTATTAAATTGTTTTCTATTTTGGTCCACATAAGAAGAGGCAAGTTCAACTGCAAACAAAAATGGCACATAACAGAGGTAAGGCGGAAAGAGGTAACAAGCAACAAGGCCAATAGGAAGGATGAGGAGGTCACAGAGGTCTGCGTTTAATTTTAGAAGATGATGCAGAGACTGCGTCCTGATGAGGCAGACCTTCTTTTGCCACCTTGTTATAGCGCTCTGAGACAAAGCTAAGGCCCCAGTGCTCTGAGACAGGGCTCCTATGTATAACTCAAACCGAAAACTGAGACACGGAAGAAAGCTACTGGATAAATCAGGACTATAGAAAATAACCCAAAACATAGCACAGATCACTATCAGGAATGTGAACAGAAACCCAAAATATAAAACATTGTGACAATCTTAATAATTAATCTCTTAGTGTCAATTTTCGCCTTAATTCTTAACAGAAATTCATCTTACCTTTTAATGTAATAGAGGCTAATTAATGCATAGGTAAAGAATGCATCCCTCTAAATGACTGATCAGTTATCTAGCCAACTGATCTATAATCGAAAATAGCAATTAAAAAAAGATCGATGTTGTAAGAGTTTGTAGACTTATGCCTAGATTATTTTGGGTGCTTGTAGGACTTCTGTCCTCTAGAACTGAATGTTTATATGCAATAGCAGGTTGCTTAATCTGGAACGAAGTAAAGTTAAGTCACTTGCGTGGTTAGAATATGATGCCAGCCTTATATGCTGCCAGAAAATAGATGGTGTCTCTCTGAGCTTCTGTTCTATCTATATTGTTTCCATGTCGTGCATCATCCCTCCTCTGCCTCCCTTGTGGAAGCTTGACGTGACAAATAGCTGGATCTGCACTTTTCTGCAGCAAAACCAACACGCCCCTCATCATCGCTGGGTGCAAATTTGATCAGAACACACCCAGAATCCCTCAGCTGCTTGATGATGAATTGGCATATTAGGAACAATGTTTATGCATCAGGCCACATCCCCCCTAGAAAATGGCAGTAAATTGCC